TGGTGGAAGTATTATTCTGTCTGCAGAAGTGCTGACAAACAGTGTTAACATTGCCTGTCTACACTACACAGCTATTAGTGACACAGTCAAAGTCTTTGTTCTATGAAATTTCCTGGCATTGTATTGTATGTAATTAATCAAAACTGGTAGAACAGATGGCAGTCAGCCTAATGTTCCATGAGTAGATGGCAATTTGATTTCCTGCTTTCTGTGCTATTAATTTTGTATGTATGTGTGCTATCACAGCTTAAAAGTGTTCATTTAAATCTTCTACTATAATATATGCCACAGGCAAGAGGTATTTAATTCTCTTCTTTTTAAAGATTTCTAGTACAGTAGATTTCTGGTACAAATATCTGTAAATAGCATGGCAAGGGTAGGGGAGAATAATAACAACCAGACTGTACCTATAATAAGCTCTGTAAATGCTGCCTAAGAATTGGCCATGTATCCCTTCTGACTTCCGATGTACAGAGCAGTCTGATTACAAAGCAGAGGAAGTGCATAATTTACCCATTTGTATTTCCTGTATAATTAGGGAAATGTAGTTTTCTAAGCAAGAGCATATATTCTATCATTGTTTTCTATTAGAGGTTACTTGCAGTATGCTCTGTTTGTCTCTTTGATCAAGCGTGTTTCTTAAAAGAAACATTTGTATATTTCTAGGTGTCATTTTTTTTCCTCCCTCCCCTGCTCCTTCCCCTCTCTCATCTTTGGCTCTTGTCAGTGCATTTCAGTCATAAGCAGGAAATATCATGGGAGCTTTTTCCTGGCTCCAGGCTTGTTTCTCTCTGAATGGTGTAAGATATTCTAGGGAGTATCAGTTCTGTCTGGAGTCTGCTTACTTAGCTAGATGATAGGATGTGATTCCAAATCCTGATCCGCAAATCAGGTGGGGTTGGACTCAGCCTTAGCAATTTTGGGAGGCTTCTATGATGTTGTTTTTCAGTCCCCCCCCCCCCCCCTTTTTTTGTTTTTGTTTTTTTTTTTTTTGAAACATAACTGAGTCCTGACTAGAGTGATGTAGCAGGTAATGAGATGCACTGAGCCCAGCCTCTTTGGACAAGATTACGGATATAGTCTTTAGTATGCCCCAAACCTAACACTCAATTTACATAGAAGTGGGATGGGGATCTTGGAGTGAGGATACCATCAGCCTCCTGCTCCAGTAGAAGTGGACCCCAGTTGCCTGTCATGATGTCCATGGCTGCCAACATCAAAAACATTTTTCAGGAAAAGTTCCAGCTAAACTGCTAGACTTCCAGCTGCATGTTACAACTTAGTCTAGTCCTCAGTTCCATAATCTTGAAACAAATACTGTGAGCCTCCAGAAGCCACTCAAGTCTACTTTAGCACTTTCATAAACACTAACAAATAATAATCACAATGCTCTTTCCTGTGTGGCATACCAGCCCCTTTTGAGTGGTCAGGATATAACAACAGAAAAGTTATTTCACTTGACTAATACCACAGATAGTGTGAGAACGGAAATTAGAAGCCAGAAGTTCTCATGCCTACTTCTTTAGGTCAGGTTATTCTAGACCTACAGAAGGGCAGTGTAAGGTAGGCACTCCAGCTACATAGATAACATAGCTGGAGTCAACAGACCTGAAGCAGAGCATGGCGCCGTCTTTACAGTTGAAGGTCAGTGAGAGCAAACACATCTGGCATCTTCCCTTCTGGCACTGACCAGGGGTGCCCTCAGCATTCTATTGAGCAGGTCTTTACTAAACCCTCTAAATTTGAATGCCAGAAGATTGATCTCCAGCGTGGCAAGTGGAGGTATGGCCTTAGAATAGACTCTCTGATTCCTCTTGTGGCCAGAAGCCATTTTGGATATTAAGCTAAAGAGCAGTCTCAGTTGATGGCAGCTGGATCTGGGTGGCATCTTGCAGTTAACATCCTCAATAGGAACTTGGACAGCACCACCCACCCCCAACTGAGAATTGGTCTTGGCTCCTTTTTCCACAGCATGGTAGAAACACTATGTATTAGATGATTTAGGGAAAATCATAGTGGAAAACTTTGAGTCCTAGTGGTCAGCTTTTGTCCTTTCTCTGATAATGTGGACTAAAAGCCATTTTAAAAATGAAAACTTAGATTAGTCATAACCTTCATAAATCTCTCCGCTAAAGGTCTGTGTGTGCTAGTGGCCATATTTCAGCAGATGCATCAATAAGCTCTCATAGCTGTTCAAAATGCATTTTTACTGAAGCAGATCTCTCCTCTCTCTCTCTCCTCTCTCTTTTTTTTTTTTATATATATACCCATACACATCACATACGTTCAGATTAAACTGCTAAAGTTAAGCTTGGATATTTATAGAAATATATAATTCTTTCCTATTGACAGACTCACCTCGCCATTACTGGTGGTATCACTTGATCTGCTGGTTGATGAGTGCCACTGGTATAATCTGTATTCTTGTTGCCCATGAACACTACACTGTGGATGTTATTGTTGCTTATTATATCACCACAAGACTCTTCTGGTGGTACCATTCAATGGCTAATGAAAAGGTGAGTGCATGGGTATTGGAGGAGAGGGGCAATATGTGTAAACAACTATAAACCCAATAATGGCCTCTCCTTGTAAATACCACACAAGTCATAGTGGTTTAAAATTAGTAAACTAAACCTGGGGCAAATTGTTTTTTCTGAAAAAAAAAAAAATGGAAGCACACGTTTATCGTTAAAATTAAGTATATACTTCGGTGCTTTCCTAAATGCAATTAATTTATAATTTCTAGCATTCATATGTTTTTAAAATCTTTATCACTTATTTGTAATTTCTGTTTTAGATAGCTAAGCCACACCATTTTTAAATTTGAACAGTAGCTGCTAATGTTTTAGAGATCTTAAATTATCCAGCTTTTTAAAACATTTCAGTTACATTTCGTGCATGCAGGAACAAATTGAACAAAGATTGACTGACTATATTCTGTGTGTTTTAAAAAAAAAATTCATTTTGTTGGCTGTAAATATACTTATTTTCAAATTGAATCTCCCCCCCCCCCCCCTTTTTTTTTTTTTTTTTAACCATGTTACAAAATAAAGTGTTCGGTTCTCATTATGCTACTTGTAATATGGAATACACAGGCTACTTTTTCTTTCCAGGTTAAATAAACCTACTATTTATAGAATTTCATTCAGATATACTGTAATTGTCTCTCTCTCTTATTTATGATTCAGCTAATGTGATGGGTTATGCTGTCTAAACTTATTAATTTTTTTTTCTGCTCTCCTTTTCTCCCCAATATAGAACTTGAAGGTCTCTTCCCAGACGAATTTTCTCTCTCGAGCATGGTGGTATCCAATATTTTATTTTTTTGAGAAGAATGTACAAAGCTCAGTTCCTTGCTGCTTCTCATGGCCAATATCGTGGCCTTCCAGCTGCTTCAAATCTTCATGCAAAAAATATTCACGGGTTCAGAAGACAGGAGAGGATAATGAAAAATCCACCTGAAAGAAAGCTGAAGAAAGAAAAGAAAGAGTCTGCTTTGTATTTTACCAAAAGATTAATGCTATAACCAAAGTTCTTAAAAGGACTAGATTGTAAGGGAATAAGTGGACTAAATTCTTGTGCAATTGATTGGAAAGACAATTGTAGACAAAATATTACATCTCTTGATATGTTTTCTAGTCATCACATTGTACAGAGCTATTCCACTTTTCAGTACTAGGAGAGCACTTCAGATTGGGTTTTTCCCTGAGAGGAAAAATGCAGGACTGGTTTACTTATGAGATTGAGGTGCCAATGAACACACCCATTCTTTTAATTATTAATTAATTTTTTTCATCCACAAAATGTCATCATTTCTGAAGTTTAAGGGCAAAAGCATACTAAAATTTAGAGTTACAGTATCTTTCTAGAATAGTATACAAAGAGTCGAACAGTAGTGGGAAGTGGTTGACCGTATTTTTCTTGCTAATGAAGGTAAGTCTTATGATTAAGCCAGAGGTGAGTCTTTGACATTTTGTGCTCTATGGGAATGAATGTAATATGACCCTGAAGTGTTGCCACTTCCCATATACTTTACCATATACCAATTTTTACATTTTGTATTGGTAATTTTATATTAAAAAAAAAAAAAAAACCCTTCAAAAAAGAACCCTAAAAATGAATAGCTGTTGTGCTATCTAATGGCATTACAAATTAGAAATATTAGCTACTAACATCTTTGGAGCTCTACAAGCATGGAAATGTTTTTATTTTTAAAACATATACCTATGTAAGAAGAAGAAAATTTATTTCAAAGTCTAAATATTTAATGGCAAGTTAGCCTGAGTCTGTATGTATTATGTGTATATAGCTATGTAATGCATATAGGTATATATACATACTTTTGTGTATTCACACACATTAACCAATACTAGATAAATAAAAGAAAGCTGAGTATAAAGTATTATTGTAAGCAAAACTGTCAATGATTTCCTTCACCTGCTTGAGGACTGCAGGGTCAGGTCCTAAATGGTAAATGTAAAAATCAAACATTTTAAAAGTTTAGTTACTGTTTCTTGTTGACACTATATAAGCCTTGTGCTAGACAGCCTGATGTTATGCATTTAGAGGTGTGGTGTGTGGGGGGGGAGGGGGTTTAAACCTTTGGCACACATCTGTGACTCATAAACAGGTCCAAGGTGAATACACTCCAACAGCAACACTTCTTCCACCTTTACCTAACAATATTTATTATAAAATGGTGCTGTCAGATGACCGGCCCATTATTTCTGCCTATCAGGACTCTTTTGTCCAATCAAAGTATCTACATAAGTATGTTGGTTTAGAATGTGGCAATACACAACTTTCTTAGAGTGCAATGGAATTGCAGATTTGCAGTCAACCTGGTCATATTGTTCTTGAGAGAGCAAAGTGGATACTTGGCTCCCCAAAGTTTAACAGTTAAATTTGTCTTATATTTTTTTTCTCGGTTACTTAAGTATTTAATTTCAAAACCTTCAGTAAAAACTGATAGCAAAAGAAATTGTCATTAATACCCAAATTAAAGTGTGCAACTTGAGTGAAAAATTTGCTCTTATTTTAAGGAAGTCTTGACAAATGTGAACACTAAAAAGAAAATTAAATGACACTCACTTTAAAAAAAAATCCAATTAGAAGAATTGCTGCAAATAAAATACAAAATATAGTACTCAGCTCTGATTTGTTTTTCAATTCACAGGGCTAATTAGTAAGTAATCTGAACACCAAAAAATTTTAACTTGCACTTGAGAATATTTTTGTGCATGATACACACAATACAAATCTTGTGCATTATATAAAAGCATAATACAATAAACAGCATTTCTTACACTGTATCCTGGTAAAACATACCCGAGTAATAATATCAAAGCTCTTTTTAAAATAATTTTAAAGATTTTATTTCTCACTGAAAATATTTAACATCATGCTGGGTAGCTTGATGATGTGTAATATGGACACAATGTTCATGTTTTGTTGCTGACAGAACTTTAGTGGCTCAAACTGAAACCAAAGTGTTTCCTCAGGGCATATCTACGTGGGAGTGCTAAAGTGCTACATCAGTTGCGTAGCTTAAGTCAAAATAGCTTATTTTGGCTTATTGTGCTGTCTACACAGCAGGACACCCGAGAAATATCACGCTTCTTCCGACTTCCCTTACTCTTCGTAAAATGAGGGTTACAGGAGTCTGAGTAAGAAGTCCTCCAGCTTGCCGCCATTTTGCTTTTATGTCAAAATAATGGCTTGAAGTGTAGACACAGACTGTTATTTTGAAATAATGTCAGTTATTCCAAAATAACATTGCTGTGTAGATACACTCTCAGTTATTAGCTAACCAGTCTTCTTAGTATAATATCAGCCTTTGCAGATCCCCATATTGTATTTCTTGTTTGAGTTCATTCTACATGGACCACGGTGTCTTTGAAGACAAACCACAGACTACCGGGCTATAGTTTAACTCACATTTTAGTTAGTTTTAGTTGAACCACTTCTAATAGCAATTTCTATGGAGAGAAATGTGGATGAACTACAACCAGCTTCAAGATAAGCACTGTGAAACTGTAGACTGAGCTTTCTAGGAAGGATCAGAAACTGCTTTTCACTTGGTAGCCTGTTAGGCCAATGAATAATGCATCCATTGATAGCCTAGATAGATTACAAGAAGTTTCATTGAGACATTTAGAAGAGTATTTAGCTAATGACTGACCTATAGAGTACATAAAGTGGTCTGCTCAAAACTAATATCCTTATTCAGTACAATTTGAGGTCCCACTCTAGAGAGAGAACTAAAATTGTGAGAATAGCTTAAAATCAGTTGTAGTTTTAGATTAGTTCTGCTAAGCGCTCAAATTCCCTTTATTCCCATATATCAACAGAAATTGAGACTCCTATACTTGCACTTGATCAATAAAATTTGTTGTTCACAGGTGCTTAAATTAAAACCCCACCACAAATGACAATCTTGCCATGGCAAATGCATGTGGATACACTGCTTTGTTGGCAAGAGCATCCTCACAGCGTTTACACATGCCGACTTTGCAACAAGGCTGTGTCCACTAAAAGCAGCACAGTGTAGTAGACATCTCAAAGTTTCTTCATATTGACAAAAGAACATAATAGATTTATTGTATCTTTTTAAAAAAAAATACTCTCCTCATTCAGAAACAGTAAAGCTTAAATCTGCATAAGAATGCAGATTTACATCCTTACATATTTACATAATTTAATGAGCCTAATGAGCCTATTCTTTATAACCACATGGCTCTAACAAATCAGATATAGACCACAGTACACAGGAACATGACCTTAAAGAACTAATAGTGATTGTGATAAGTGGTGACCTATAAAGCAAAATTTCAAGACAGGAAGAAATGGAGTAAAGTGGATACTATCCAAAAATAAAAAAGCTAATCTGGAATTCATTCATAAACCTTCACTGGATTGAGTGCAGGCTTTTAATCCTGCTGCCTTGTTATATAGATCTCATTTTTATGTAATGTATCAAACTTTTCTTTAAATACTGTCTATATTTGCTGCTGTGCCAGGAGACAGAGAATCATAGTTCAGATGCAGTTTCTTAGATCCAAATTCTGCCCTTTTGAAGAAAGCATGGATGGGCCTTTTTGAAATCAGAGGAAGTTCCATATGCGCTTCTTCCACCTTACTGAAGACGCAGGAGCTGCTGAGTCCTTGACACTTCTGAAATCCAGGTCTTCACCCATGTGCCTAATTGGATTTAGAAACGTAAATTGGGCACCTATATTAAAAAATCTTAGCCTTGGTCGTTATTTAAAAGGGCAATATGACAGCAGTATGCTCACTCTGGCTTGCATCAGATCTGTCACAAGAGCAAATAAACGGCCTTGTTCAACCACTTCAGATATTATCTCTATGGTGTGTCCTTAATGACCTCTGGTGGCTATAAATGGTATGTGTTCAATAACATTCTCTGACTTTCAAATTTGTTGTTGTTTTAGGGTAATTCGTTGGGAACCAGTCCAGAGGAAAATTAAAAAGTTTCCCAGCACTTGAACTGATTTTTTTCATATTCAAATGACTCTAGTTAGGTTGACTGTTTTTATTCATTTTTTATATTTTCTGTATTACCTTGTTCTGGCCAGAACCCGGAAATAATATATGAAAATATGAAGTGTTGTTCTTGTAGTGTAAAACCCAACTAGTGCTACAAAATGCTGTGTGTGCAGAAGGGTGGGGGAAGTGTTCATGAGACTTTGAGACAAGCGATCCAGATATTTTGAGATGAACATCTCTAATGGAATCAATCCTCCAAACTTTGAATTTCACCCATTGCTAGTGATTGCATGGCCAGATAACTTATCCTGTTCATTTAAAGTACACCTAGCGCCAATCAAAATCTATCTTTTTGGTTGATATGAAATATGTTCTAGTGCTTTACAATCTGACCCCTGATTCCAATCTCATAGAAATAGTGAGTCCACCTATTTATTTCAAAGGGCAGGTCCTTGAAGAAAGGCATGGAAAAATGCAGATTTTTGTTCTGCTCCCAGCTCTGCTACTGACTTGTGTGGATGTGGGAAAGCTATAACTTTTTCCAGCCTGATTCAGAACCACTACCATTCCATTTGTTTTTGCTAGGAATTAAGCACAACACTTTTGAAAATTCTGTCTGTTTCACCCTCTGTGAAATAGAGAAACAGCTTCCCTCTCATCACACTACTGAGGCTTAGTATTTGTAAATAAATGTCTAGATTAGGGTTGGGCAAGATCCAGCCCACAGGAAGGTATTTGATCCAGCTCTCAGCCCTCCCTACTGAGGCCTTGAGACTGTTCAAAATGGCTGGCAGCTCCCCTCTCCCAGGGCTGTGCAGCACCTAGAAGGAACCACCAGTGGTTTTAAACAGTGAGGCACGCCCCTTGCAAGGGAGGCAAGATATTTTGTGTGGGCTCCTACCCCCAGGCACTGGTCCCAGCTACAATGATTGGCCTGGAGGTGGGGGAGCATGTGAAACCTCATTTCCCCCGCCCACCCCCTTCAGGGATGTGCAGCCCTGAACTGTGCATGGAGGGGAACCTCTTTGAGTAGCCTGGGGCTGCTGCAGGAGGGTGCCTGCCTTGGGGGACCCTGTTTGGGCTGCTGGCCGGGAGCCACCTAAATAAGTGACTCCTGGCCATAGTCTGCCTCTGGCATCCCAGCCCCTCCCACTTCCCAGCTCCATGCCCCGTTCACCACCCAAATCCTCTGCACACATATCCCACCCCAGGTCACAAGTCCCTCCTGGACCCTGGAACACCCCTCTCCCTGGTCAAAATTTACTCCTGCACTCCCCTGTCCTGCACCTTAATCCCTTGCCTCATGTCACAACCCAACCTCTGTCCCAAACCCCCCACTCCCTCCATAGAGAAGTGTGGCCCTTGACCACTTTCCAAAATCTTGGTGTGGCCTCCCACCAAAAATTATTGCCCATCCTGTTCTAGATGATGGGAGGGAATGTACTACAGAAGTGCAAATATTTTTTTTTCTTGTAAAGCACTGCTTTTAAACTAAGTCGTCTTGAGGCATGCTTTGAGAATTGCATGCCTGTATCAGGCACTGTAATACCAGTGAAGTTTTAACGAGACTTCATCTTTTAAGCCACCTTTTTCAGTGACTGAATTTGACAGGCATCCAAATCAATGTTGCTGTTTAACCGCATATGAAAATAACTTCCCAGCACAGTATTAATGCCATTTCTGTGTTCTAAATTTTTGTCCTTAAATGCCAATAATATGGATGCTGCAGGGATGCAGATTTTTTTTTTTTTTTTTTACAAGCATTGGGAACAAATTCAAAATAATCTAATCTTGTATTTGATGCAAGTATACACTTCCACGCATGCTTACAAATTGTTTACGTAGCCTGTCTGCATCATTTAGCAGCATAGCATCTATCGTTAGAAATCAGTTCAGGAATAAGGAGGAAAACTTTAGCATAGCATGTGACAATTGTATTGTTGATTTCCAAATAGAAGACTTGAAGAAAACAAATGCAAATTACATCATTCTCTTTGCCAAGTTAGGAGATAAATTAAATCAGTGTTCCTATGTAATTGTTAATGCTACATGATATGAGGTCTCTTACAGAAAATGTATTAGTGCTTCGAAGGTAGTTATTTATTCTTTTATAAATATACTATTTTTATGTGTTAAGTGCCTTATTGTACAGTTTTACATCTGTATGTATACTATAAATTTTTTCAATAGTTTGTTGGATAGAGTCTATGCTACTCTGTTATAGTTGTATTAGTATATGTTTGCAGGTTTTAATCAAATTTTAATATAACAATCTTTCACACCTTTTGCCGCTACTTTCAAACTGCCTTTAGCAGCCCAATGTAGCAGAGCAGCACTTTGCAGAAACACTATTTGTGCTTCTATACACTATGGGTGCCTTAGCACTCTGGCTAAAAAATTCTTGAGTTACATTTCAGCCTGTCATGAAGTTATCATATGAGACTGTTTCCACAAAAGTGGGTGGAGGAAAGTTCTGTCTGTTAGATGCTACAATAGATGTTTATTAATCTCTTTATAACAACCTTTCCATTCTTCTCTCCTTCTCTCCCCCTTAGGCCCCCCTCTTACTTTATTTTTAAGCTCGAAGGTTGAGGCAGTTGTCTTATAATGTGGATTTTAAGTGCCTTTGGGTGGGAGATGGGGGTTGAGGTGGAGGGGCTGAGGACCAGGAAACACAATAAGTTGAATTTGTTTTCAGTGGGAAAACTTTAAAGCTAATGAATCCTATTCAAGATTTTCATAGACATGTGGCCTCCTTTGGATGTGTGCTTTGGCTAACTTGCCACTGTCGACACGTGAGGAGGATGCAGTATTAAGACTGTACCAAGAACCCCCAACAGTAATTTAGCTGGCTCTGTTTGACTCAGTACACGCTAGCCTTCCTGGCTATCTTAGGAAAAGGAGTAGCACATATTTGTCTCCATAGCAGACATGCCTTTCACTTCCCTTTTGGGATGGTGAGTGTTGGTGCTGCTAGCCCTGTGTAGTCAGTATGCTCCCAGCTGAACAATCCAGCCACTGCACAGTCTTTGTGTAGTTGTGGGTCTTTGAAACTCCTCCTCTTCCCTTATGCACTTGCACAAGGTTAGTCACAATCTGGTTTGTTTTGAGTAAATGAAAATATCATAAAACTAGTTCAAATACTACTGTAGAATTGAAACTCAACTTCTTTAAAAGTGTCTATGGACTTGATTCTGCAGAAAAAGGTCGAGTTTTGCAAGACATCCAAATGTACTCTTGGTTGATTCAGACCCTGTGTTTTGTATTTGTCCGATAAATAATAAAGGCTCTGAGAGGTTAGCTTTTGTGAGGCTACAGGGATTAACCACAGACCAGCAATCTATCATGTCAAAATTAGCCCTTTTACCAGAGTAATATTTATTCCCTGGATAGATCTTATGGTTGCGTATGTGTTAAGCTGGTATTGATTTTGTTATTACTTTATTACATTTTTTTTAAAAAATGTGTGTAAAAAATATACTAAATGTATTAATATGTACTTGAATTCCTTTTTTTTAAATAACTTGTTTAAGATCTAATCACTGAGCCCTTCCAAACCTGCACAGAAGTTCCTACTACATGTAGGCAAATCCTTTTGCAGGATAAAGTTCTGAAAAATGAGTAGCCTTAAAATGCAGATGTATATTAAAAGAAAACTAAGCATTGTGCTACTCACTCATTGTCCTGATTCAGCAGGGAACTTAAAATATGAGTAGTTTTATTGAAGTCAGTGTGACTGTTACTATGTTTTAAAGTTAAATACATGCTTAAGTACCTTGTTGAACACTTAATGCTTGGCATAGCACTTCTACCAATGAAGTTAGTGAGACTGCTCCACTAGTAAGTACTATTGCTATTACTAAATATAGGCAGTATTCTTATTGGCTACATCTAGACTGGCATGATTTTCCGCAAATGCTTTTAACGGAAAAGTTTTTCCGTTAAAAGCATTTGCGGAAAAGAGCATCTAGATTGGCACGGATACTTTTCCACAAAAGCACTTTTTGTGGAAAAGCGTCCGTGCCAATCTAGATGTGGTTTTGCACAAGAAAGCCCTGATCGCCATTTTCGCCATCGGGGCTTTTTTGCGCAAAACAATACTGTGTTGTCTACACTGGCCCTTTTGCGCAAAAGCAATTGCGCAAGAGGGCTTTTGCCTGAACGGGAGCAGCACAGTATTTCCGCAAGAACACTGACAATCTTACATGAGATCGTCAGTGTTCTTGCGGAAATTCAAGCGGCCAGTGTAGACAGCTGGCAAGTTTTTCCACAAAAGCAGCTGCTTTTGCGGAAAAACTTGCCAGTCTAGATGCAGCCATTGTGTGTCCAGCCACTAACTCGATGGGCCAGAATTTGGTCCATAGAAAGCAACATGTATAAAAGGGCTGCAGCAGCTTGTGGCAGATGTCTCAGTAAAGTGAGCAAGATGGCAGACACTTCTTTTTGTCTTTTTGGCCTGTCACATGCTATGAAATGTTGCATCTTCTACTACAAAGTGGTGTAATATATACAGAGCTGTAACACATGATCAAGTTTTTTGTAATATTGGTGCTCTGAAAATAAGGCAATAATCAGTAGTATTTCTTGGGTACAAATTTGAATAGGATGATGTTCTTCTGTATTCAGTTCCTATACTGGACCTTGTATCTTGTAACGGTATGTCTAAAAGCCTTGTCTATGCTAGTAGCAGGATGCAGAGTATGTGTTGCTATGTGCTGCAGTGAAAAGCAGGCTATATCTATACTGCTGTGTGTAGTGAGGCGTGGCAATAAGTCTTTAGCAGCAGGAAGTGGTGAGGAACATTTTTTGACAACAGGGACCTGCAGGTGTCTTTCCCTGCTGCCTGTTCCTACAACAGTCTTTCCTTGATGCTGGGAAAGTCTCTTCCAGCAGTGGGAAGCTACCAGAGATTTTCCCCACAGTGGAGCAGGGGGAAAACTTAAACTTCCCCTCTGGCAGCAGGACACTGGACTACTAGAAATAGCCGCTTACGTGGAGTGTGTAAAGGGCCACGTGGTCAAATGCCTGAAGGTTCTGCATGTGTAAACAATGCCTCACTTACACTGCACGTTGCCCAGCATAAGTATAAATAGCAGTGTATATACTCTGTACATACCGTAAGTGTAGATATAGCCTAAGAAGGCCATCCTATGTATCTGAAACACATAAGCTGAAACTGTGTCCAATGTGAGGGCTCAGTAGCCATAGTGTATTGCAAACCTGTAGACATGGGTCAGAATTTACAAGTTAGGGACCACATATTTGCTATGAAGCTACATGCAGAACCACCAAGGACTTGTGACTGTAAGTGTCAAAACTTTAAAAAATAAATCAGGAACAAATTCTGTTCTTTTGAACACTCAACACTCTTAAGAGTATTTTTGTTTGTAAATAAAGCTTTTCGTTTCTCAATTTTACTGTTAATTTGTGGTTTTACATACTTGTATACAGGAAATGGGGATAGTTCATGGATTTTAAATAAATATTAAACCAGCCACACTTCTGTGAGATATCCAGGAAATTATGAATTAGGAAAAAGGAGTTGGTTTGGAAAAAAAACTTAGATAATCTTATCACTTGATCTAAAAATGTAAGAATGTCATTAGTTTGTGGCATGGACAAATGGCTACATTTAAAAAGATCATCATCTAATAAACCATCTTGTTAGTCCTGCATTTTGCTTCAGCTACACCAGACTAACACGGCTACATTTCTATTACTATTATAAAGTGAGATACATTGGGCATCATTCTTTTGTTCTTTTCTAGTTTTTAAAAATGTAGATTTTTGAAGGAGGAAAACTGAGTGAAATCTCTGGCTTTTTAGCTCTCATGGAAAAGCAGGATCAGAAGTACTGTAACATGATGATAAAATAACTAACTTAGCATAACTGACTGTCTCAATGAGATACTGAGGAGCTGCTAACTTATCTGTGACCTAACTGTAATGAACCTTTGCTGGTCTGGGTCTTCTGTGTCAAGATACGTGTCTGTGCCTTGTATATAAGCAAGTTGTTTTTAAGAGAGCTTGCACTATGACTGCTTGAAAGATCAATAAAAAATGTCCTGTCCTAATGACTAAATTCTACAAGCACAAAAGTCCACCAAAAATTGATTCTGTGCCTTCTGCTAGAGCGAGAGAGTATTTTTTTTCAATAACATTATGTAATGCAGGGCAATTAAATATTCAAGACTAAACAATGAGGAAGTTGCTCAGTAAGTTAGCTTTGGAGAAAGCAGTTCCTGAAAGTTTAAAGTTGTGTTTTGGCTGAATAAAATAGGGAAACACAGCAATAGTACTCCCTCTCCTGGAGGATGCAAGGCCTACATTTCAGAGTTTCACTGTTAAAAATCCCTCATCTTTCACAAAGGCTTTTTAATGTCAATTATAGATATATTGAAATCCTGGTATAGTGAACTTTGAAGCAAATATTTTCAAAAATCTTAGTTCTGAGACTCATTCTGTTTAGGGACCAAGGTGCTTAGCTGATCAGATGTATGAAGAAACATATACTGAGTCAGACTGCATACATGTTTTGGCACAAGGACATTACATTTTAAAAACCCCTAAAATCTTATACAAACATCTAAGTGTTCTGTTTGTCATTTACCCTGAGTGCTCTCAGACACTGCCCCTGTGAAACAGACAAAATTTGCCTGACAGATCATGTTAGATCTTTTTAGTTGGGTATGGATATTTTATTCTGTTTACAATCTTAGTAAAAAGACACAGTAACAGATGGCTGAAAATGTG